TTGTTGTTGTTGTTGTTGTTGTTGTTGTTGTTGTTGTTGTTGTTGTTCTGGCTAATGCTGCAATGCTATATTAGGTTTAGTACTTCTTTGGCCTTCATTTCTTGAGGATACGCTCGATGGAACTAACATGGAAGTGGAAGACGGAATAGCGACATATCAACCGCATTATATATTTGACCACTGAACACCCAGGCCCTCTGTGTAGGTAACCTATGTAGGTAAATACATGTAAATACGATATACATGGAGTGTCAGGTCCCATCCAAACTGGGCGTCAGTTTGCATCCTGGTGCTACGAGCTGAAAACACCCAGACGAGTTCTCTTGTGCCCCCTGTCTTCCGACTTCTTCCACATGCTTTGCGATGCTTTACTGCCACCTGCAGTCCCAAATGCCAAGATTGTTGCCATGGCAAAAGATCATTGAGGAAAACGAAGCAGTGTACCATCATGTACTATTAATGTAAAACACCTGACAGTTCTCTTGTTGCTAGTTTCTCTTCTTGTCATCCTATGTCACATCTAGTGCTAAGTCCATTCATTGCATTTGGTCGACTTGCCACCACTTTGGTCGCCCAGGTCCTCACCTTTCACCTGGGTTTGTTGTTTCTCTCGTTCGGCAACACCTCACCTCAGGTGACCCCTCTGCGAACGTGGTGGGACACCAGAACTGTGATTTGCCGTGCCTTGGGTGCATCATGGTGCATCTCTGCTTCTCAGCGACTGAGTGGGTTCTACAAAACTCAAGTATCTGAACAGTACCCATTGTGCGTATTAAAATGGGGAGACCTCCCAGGCGTGTTTGGCGTTCCGACCCCCCTGGGTTCGGTTCAGGACATAGACCAGTCTACCCAGCGACCGGGGTCTCCCTATTCAAACCCAGACACTCCATGCATGCTATATATATATATATATACCAGCACCCTCCGACAGGCGTCGTTTGGTTTTTGAAATTTCAGTTAGCTAACAGGCTTCCAATGGACAACTGTTAAGGTTACAGGTAGCTCCCCTCTAAAAAAAACCCATAACAACGCCTGTCGGAGGGTACTGGTCACATCACTCATGTCTCAACATGTTCTGTTACCACACCAAACCCCTCCACCCATCCCACGGCCACCGCTCGCTGGCCTCTGCCACATTTTGCTGCTGAACGAAGCGGTGAGGAGGTATCACCGGCATGTTTGCGCAACCGACCCAGTGGAGGAGTCTTACACACTTGTTCAGGAACTTTAACCAAATCCTTTAGTGGGTCAGTTGGCGCATCCATCGAACACACACATATGCGATATACCTGTTCATCACAACATACCCTAGCCGCTTAGGGTTCTGTTCCCTAGCAACTCGCTTCAGCTCACCCATCATGTCTTCGTCGACATAGCATGAAAACGCGAGAGGATTCAGCACCACCGCGGTGTCCAGGACCAAGTGGTCCAATCTTAGTCGAGAATATACACATTGCGAGGTATGGTGTTCACAAAGTCAGTAAACTCTTAACCAATATCCACAATAAGAAACCAACTCCCCATTCCTGACAAGACACTTATGGTATTTTGGGCGAAGTTTCCAAAGCATGACTTCAGCATTCAAAGCCTCTTGCGCCAACCCTAGGATGCTCAAGCCAATCAAGAGAAACCTAAAAACACAGCGCCATCACACAAACATGAAAAGACCTTAGAATTATACCACTCGGGGTAAACTCTTCAACCAAGGATCAATTGTGAGCAGCTCGAAATAAGAATGCAGCTCGTTGCAACCGATGAAGGTTGTCAGTCGTGAGGGTGGCAAACCTTCCGGTGTTGCTCTCTTTGCTCATGGCCTTTCGCATGGCCACGAGGTTCGTGAAAACTGCGGCCACCATCCTGACTTACATCATAGTATCCACCAACGACTTGCTCACTCGTCTGCTCACTCAGCTCTTGCACACAAATGACAAAAACCAAGTGACGCTGCGTGAAGATTCTCGGGATCGTCATCAGCTATCTTCAAGGTCAACTTCATGAGCCACATCGCAAGAACCACACACTCCTGAGCTGATATTGTCAAGCCAGAACCACTGCTGGGCACTGCCAAGCAATTTCAAACCGCTAGTTGCCGTACAGCATCTGCTCCATTCATATGCTTTTGTGCGAAGGTGGGGTAGCTCTTAGGCCCATTCGGGTAAAGATTCTTCCTCAGATTTAGGCTGATTTATAAGTCCAGATTGAGTTGTTCTTTCCTACTGTCATTGCATGTGCATTGAAAGAAACTTGCAGTGCAAGATTCACACTGAAGAATTGTCCTCGGTTTCCTGAGGGTAGCTGTGAGAGACTATCATAATACCATTTTTGGACCACTTTCCAAGGAATTAAATTTATCCAAGCCACGAATCCCACTTTGACGGCAAGCGCCACTGAAGAGGACAAAAGCAGTTCGAAGTTTTTCATCTGTTGTGCCATATTCTCCAAAAACCGTGCACTCCCGTGAGGTCAGTTCAATCCTTACATCAGGAGTACTAACACACACACACAAGCTGAAGAATTGTTCAAACCAAAAAGAACACAATCCCAATCGAAGTAGCAAAGCTGATCCAGCACATTCCGGAATTATACAAAGGTCAACAATGTGCAGCCAGTCATACACGATGAGGCTAATATCCCATCCAGGCACTCCAGTGAATGTTTGACATCGACTGACGTTCTCAATGAAATCCAGGCCCGAGACGAGCGTTCTCCTATGATTTGCAGAGATGCCAAAGTCTGTATACAACAGATCTGGGTCAGACACTGAGGCTCGGCAGTGCAAGCAACAACTCGAAGAAACCCAGCTCTTGTTCGGCCTGTATACCCTCTGGTGGTATTTCTCATCTCCTTTGTGCATGATCAGAACACATCGCCACCCTGAAGCAATCGACCCATGGCGCTCCTGGCCAGCACGTTGAGGTTCATATGGAGCACCCCAGGGATCCAGAGGAGAAAACTCTCCCTCTTGTAATTCTGAGATGCTCCATGCTATCCACTTCTCAAGTGTCCAGGAAGTTTCTGGCACAGAAACCGAGTTGTCCAGGACAAACAAAACAATCTTCGTGTCATACGAACTGCCTGATACAGCGAGGCTTCCCATTGTGCAAATGTTGAACGTCCTTCTTCGATGAGAGTCCGCATCATCCCCATGTATGCAAAGTGGGATCACACGTGAAATGTCAACATCCTTGGGTTTTAGATGATTTGTCCATGGACTGTCCAGCTGCCAGAAGAAAAAAATCTAAAAAATCATGTGTTGCCATGTCTCCGGTCTGCTCAACACTGGATGATTCCGATACCAATCTGTATGTTGATAGGATTTCCAAATTTCTTCAATAGCCTGAGTAATGCGCTCACTGTTTCAGCTGTTATGTAAACAAACAGATGGACTGCAGCGGTTGGCAAATATTGGAAACCAGACACTCCAGGTGGGCCTACAAACCGTGATCGAAACAATTCGAAGTCATAATGAAACATAGTCGATATCCTCAGGTTCCCAGAGAAACAAAAAGGAAAAACCACCAATCCAAATCACCACATCTCCAACCCAAGAAGATGCAGTCAAGGTTCACATCACTAGGAAGTAGGATGTGCCATGAACCCATGAATATCGGCCGCTCATAGCTATAATCTTGCAGAAGCACACTCACCCTCAGTTGGAAGAACCCACACCCTCACAATTCCAATACTCAAGTTAACTCAACATATGATTCCACTAAACTTGCACATGGCACTCCACCGGTGTAGGAAGCATAGCCCTCCAGCTCTGTCGGTCAAGCCATCGCCAAAAGGTTCTTGCATAGTTTTTTTCTTCTTGCCCATTCAATAAGTCAACCAAGTTTCGAAGGTTTCTCCTTTCAACAGTTGGACACGAGGCAAATATCAGAAACATACATGCTCAGCACATAACTATTAGTCCAAGCATCGGCAAATGTCGGGCAGGTATTCGGCGGCGAAGAATCCGGAATAGAGATATGATTGTCACGACAGAAACCTCAGTTAAGTTATACGGGGCACCACAAGTGCAACACTGGACAGACAAGCATTGTCACCATGGTCCAAGGTAAGCCAAGAAGCGGTTCTCGTAATTTCTAAAAACTCTTCCACTATGTCCATTGCTGGGATTGTTCATGAGCTGCAAAAAAAAGTGTAATAGCTGGGATTGTTAATGAGCTGTTTGCAGAAGTCTATACAAAAAACATGTTTGCAATTGTTTGCACACTGACCATGACCATTCATTATGATATGGTATGAACTGCGGCCAGAACCACACTGACCATGCGTGTGCTCACACAAAAGCTCAACACCACAAGTGTTGTGCAAAAACACGAAAACCACTCTTGTAAACTGCAAACCATTTTGAACCCCCAGCTCATGATCTCACGAGCAACATGTTTAATGGCCTTTTCTTTGGCCATCACGATGGGCATGTGGTTAGTGCTGTGATCACAGCAACGTCCACAAGCCAGGCCAAAAAGAAGCTTGCCGTGCAAGTGCGTCTTGGCTCACAGCAGCTTTCAGGGATGGTTGCGGGCGGTTGTTTTCAAGGTGTGTGCACTAAACAACAGTACATAACAGTACCAAAAAACATGGGAGTAAACATGGGTCCAATGTTTAAGACACATAATATTCAGGAGGGCACGAAACACAAGTTCTGCACAAAGGCTCCAGTCATACACACCCTCAAACTATTTGGAACCAGTGGGGCACACAGAAGCTTTCTATCAATTGCAAGGGACACGCCTGAGCCAAGACATAGATACCCCATAAAAATCCTACTCGGACCCCTCCTCAGAGTCGGAATCATAGTTCTCGATCTTCTTTGGTTTCTTGGGTTTCGCTGCTGCCACTCGGCGTTTGGCATCACGGATGTCCATGTCCACGTTTTTCAAATGAACCTTGGTTTCCTCCACAAACTTGGCCACCTCATCCGCTGATGACCAAGAAGACGGAGCCAGGTTACTCTTCTCAATCACCATCTCGCAATGCACGTCCAATGCATGTTGATGGGCATCCAGGCAGTCCACCTGGAACAGGAGTTGGGTACCACCCCGATTGAAAAGATCACACAAAGAACAACATTATGACGAGCCACCAGCTCCTTGCAATTTCGAACTCCATATGTAGTCATCTCTTCCATGCACTTTGGGAGGTCATTCTGCATGTTTTTCACCCTTAGTCATAGCACATCGTAGCATAGAGTAGTTCAATTGACCAAACCCCCCCTGAGTTGTTTAGATCACAGTGTGCTGCAAAATTATTGGTTACCAATGTTTATCCAAGCAGCTTGTTACACAGTGTTTTCAAATCCTTGATCGCCAGCTCAATGGGTGATTTCTCCTTCGGCACTTTCTTCTGCTTGATTTGTCCGGTTTTCAAATCGAAGTCAGGCATCAGATCAGCGACCCCCTGTAGTTGTTTGGCCACCAATTTCTTTGACTCTGGATCCTTCACTCTGCCACTGATGCCTGCCTGGGTGATTACAGTCTTGTGTTGCACGAACAGTATTGATTTGCACGGCAGTTCTATCAAACAAATTATTGATTCCAAGGGGCTGTGGTCTCCGCAGATGTTCCTGATTGTTTGCTCTCCATCACCGATGAAAGGACCTTGTACATAGTGGCATCCTTTACTCCTGGGGCCTGCCAAGGAAAGTTGAGAAAGGTCAGAAACATTGGAGAGA